ATGGATGGATGGTGATTGGGGGATGGATAGATGGTGATTGGGGGATGGATGGATGGTGATTGGGGGATGGATAGATGGTGATTGGGGGATGGATGGATGGTGATTGGGGGATGGATAGATGGTGATTGGGGAATGGATGGATGGTGATTGGGGGATGGATGGTGATTGGGGGATGGATGGATGGTGATTGGGGGATGGATGGATGGTGATTGGGGAATGGATGGATGGTGATTGGGGGATGGATGGATGGTGATTGGGAATTGGATAGATGGTGATTGGGAATTGGATAGATGGTGATTGGGGGATAGATGATGACTGGGAATTGGATAGATGGATGGATAGATTGGGGAATGGATAGATGGTAAGTGGGAATTGGATAGATGATGACTGCTGGGAATTGGATAGATGGTGATTGGGGAATGGATGGGAGGTGATTGGGGGATGGATAGATGGTGATTGGGAATTGGATAGATGGTGGCTGGGAATTGGATAGATGGTGATTGGGGGATGGATGGTGATTGGGGAATGGATAGATGGTGATTGGGGGATGGATAGATGGTAATTGGGAATTGGATAGATGGTGATTGGGAATTGGATAGATGGATGGATAGATTGGGGGATGGATAGATGGTGATTGGGAATTGGATAGATGGTGGCTGGGAATTGGATAGATGGTGATTGGGGGATGGATGGTGATTGGGGAATGGATGGGAGGTGATTGGGGAATGGATAGATGGTGATTGGGAATTGGATAGATGGTGGCTGGGAATTGGATAGATGGTGATTGGGGGATGGATGGTGATTGGGGAATGGATGGGAGGTGATTGGGGAATGGATAGATGGTGATTGGGAATTGGATAGATGGTGACTGGGAATTAGATAGATGGTGACTGGGAAATGGATAGTCCCTTGTCCTACAGCCTTTATTCTCCAGCTGCCTAAGGTTGGATTCACCCTGTTCCCTGAGCACATGTGGCAATGCTCTTGTGTGAGTGTAAACGGGCCCATATTGTTTCCCTTTCCATAACACAGTAAACTATTACACATCTACAAAACATAGATGTGAACCAGGAAATGATGGGATTTCTGCTTGGCATGCATTTGTATACAATAAAATGCATGGGCTTTGCTGCACGGAAATAGACAAGTGTAAAGAGGCCCTAAGGGGAATTTCCCCATACATTGAACCTAGTGTATTACTAGGACACCTATGTGGACCAAGTGATCCAGTGCCCCACAATCCCTTTACCTAAGCAATAAAAACATGACAGGGGTTCAAGTTCTTCCCTGACCAAAACAAAAACAAGCTTTGGCTTTACATAAACTTTAAGCTTGGAGTACAGTTAATTGGTTACTATGGCCACCAAACAGATTTTTTAGACTTTTTCCTTTATTTTCACCTGGTAATCCTGTCAGAAACACCCTCCCTGCCCTAGGGTAAGGATGGTCACTGTATTTTATCTATGGTATAGCACAATGGTCACCCTAGGCTGTTCTTCTGATCTAGACTGCTAACAGCAACCTCTCTACTCATCTTTATAACATAAGAGGAAACGTTTCTGTAGCTTACAGAAGAGAATTGGTGAAATCTTATAACATTGTTTAAGATTCCAGTTCAGTGCAGAGGAACTTTAATGGCCCTGGATTTCTGGCAGGATCAACAGGTATTTTCTATACTGGCAGATGCACTTAGCCTGCAAAAAAAAGAAAACTAATGCAGATAGCAAATCTATAGACTGGTAAGATGCATTATATTGCTTTATCTTTGTTCTTGGGTTCATATACACTGTAACTGGCTTGTCTTTTACAACACAGGTATCAGAGCAAATGGGACGTCATTTGTGCAAAGGAGAGCCAGTACCAGGTGCAGTTAGAGCAGCTCTTCAATGACAAGAAGGAGATTGTGTCTTTTCTCAAGCTTACCCTCAACCAGCGCATGGATGAAATCGCTGACCTCAATGATCAGCTGACTGGCCTACAACAGGCCAAAGATGCAGAGAAAGAAGCCTACGAGGCACAGCTAGCACAGTTACGGAGTGAATTTCAAGAGAACAGAGACCGTCTTACTTCAGAGAACATGCTGTTGGGTAAGAGTCATCCTTCGCATTCATCCTTTTCAAAGGAAGCTCCTTCTGATACACTTGCACTATGCATCTATCTCCCCTCCTACCTCCACAAAACTCCCCTGTGCTGTCACAGTCTCCATCACTGAACACCTCCCTGTCACCTCTGCACTCCAACCATCTCCTCTGTGTTAAGGTGCCCATACACCTGCTGATAATCGCGGGAAATCCCGCGATCGTACGATAATTGGCAGGTGTATGGAAGGCGTGCGACTGTTTTTACTGTACGGTCGCACGTCTTTTGTCTCCCAAGCAGGCTTGAAAACCCGCTGAGAATCGTACGATTGTCGGCGGGTTAGTGGCGTTCTCGGGAGACAAATGCCGAACGGGCCGGTGTGCGCAAGCGCATGCTGCCCGCTCAGCATCGCAGTTATCGGAAGCCCTCCACTCAGCGGGGAGGGCTTGCGATGATCGCAAGTACGATCTGCCTGTCCATGATGGGCAGGTGGTACGAAATTTTAATGACCTTACAACCAGGGGTGTAACTAGAAATCACAGGGCCCCATAGCAAAATTTTGTATGGGCTCTGTGATTTCTAGTTACACCCCTTGATGAGCTCACTTGAGATTCCACACAGCCCACCTGAGGGTGACCCTGCAGAGCCCACCATAGACTCTCTATGGTGGTCTCCGCAGGGTCACCCTCAGGTGGGCTGGTCACACTCCTTAACTGTCCGAGATGGGCAGATCGTACGAGCTTTTAATTACTTTACAAGACGAAAGTCGTGCGATGGTTGTAAAGTGTATGACCAGCTTTACCCTCCACCATCAGTGTCTACTTTGTGCTGCATGTATTAAGCTAGCCGTACACTTTACAACCATCGCACTACTTTCTTCGTGCGATGGTTGTAAGGTAATTAAAATCTCGTACGATCTGCCCATCTTGGCCAGGCAGATCGTACTTTCGATCATCAAAAGCACGCCCCTCTGATGGGAGGGCTTGCCAATGACTGCAATGCTGAGCGGGCAGTGAGCGCTTGCACACACCGGCCCGTGTGGCTTTTGTCTCCTGAGAAAGCCACAAACCCGATGAAAATCCCACGATTCTCGGCGGGTTTTCAAGCCTGCTCGGGAGACAAAAGACGTGCGACCGTTTAGTAGAAAAGGTTGCACGCCTTCCATACACCTGCCGATTATCGTACGATCGCGGGATCACCCGCGATTATCGTATGATAATCGGCAGGTGTGTAGCATGTTCGTAAGATAAAAGCCGGACAGGCCGGTGTGCGCAAGCGCACACTGCCCGTTAGGCCTTGCGGTCATCGGAAGCCCGCCCCTCAGGGGGCGTGGCTTGCGATCATCGCAAGTACGATCTGCCTGTCCAAGATAGGCAGATCGTACGTTTTTTTGATCACCTTACAACTATCGCAAAGACAAAAGTCTTGTGATGGTTGTAAGGTGTGTGCCCAGCCTAAAGGTGCCCATACACTGCACTATGTGTCCCCAATTATTTACAAACACTGGAGTGATCAGGCCACGCACACAGCAGCTGTCATCCCAAAACGGCTAGGAGGACAGCGGCTCCGCTCTCCTCCCCGCCTGCCGCTTGATAGGGTATATAGAGGGTTGTAATTGTGTACTTGTGTTGCCTGCAAAGCAAATCTTTAAAAATGTATTAAATAAAAACTACTCAATACAGAAGAAAAAAAAGTTAGATGGCCGTCTGGTACTCAGGAAAAGTCAGATAAGAAGGATTGGTGTCTGACCTATTTGCATTGTTTGCAGCTGGTAAATTGGCTTCCTTGGAAGAGTTCAGAGTGCAGAGAGAGGAGCTGATGGGCAAGTTTGCTGCGTTGGAAGAAAAGTTAAGAGCACAGGAAGAACAACACAAAGAGACGATGTACAGGCTGGAGAAGAAGGCGGTGCTGGATAAGGACAGGTCAGGTTCGCTGTGAAGTCATTTTGTTTTATTGCAAGTATCCAGTTAGGGGTTTGGATTATTCCCCTGCCCTGTGCACATCTTAAAGGAGAACTATGGGGTCAGGGCTTTTCCCCATATATCTCCTTAGGGTAACGGGAGGACACAAACTAGCGTCCTCCCGTTACCCGGTATGTGTTCGCTCACCTCCCGATATACTGAGCCGACCTGTGACAGTCTCATTGTCACAGGTCGGCTAGAACTATGAGGTGAGTGGAAATCACTCATCTCATAGTTCTCCTTTAAGGGGGTATGTATTTCCCTATATACTGTATTTCCCTGAAAATAAGACACTGTCTTATATTTTTTTTGCCTCAAAAAAACACACTAGGTCTTATTTTTGGGGTAGGTCTTATTTTTTTTTTTTTTAATGTACAACAATCCAAAGTTAACGCAAATCAAAATTAAATAATCCAAAATGGCAAAGTTAAGAATAGTGTGATCGGGGCAATCAGGGGTTGCCAATTGCTGGCCAGAATGAGCGAAACGAACTTTCACTATCGATTCCTCGCAGGTGGAGTGCATTTGGAAGGATAACAGCAATTTTCTTTACACACACACACACAAACCCCCCACCCCCCTCCGTATGTTTTTTACAATTCTTTATTAACTGAACAGAGCAGAGTACAGTCTACAAAACACCCCCTCCCAGTATTTTGAAGTGGACCTAATAGATCATTTTTTTAAATGTTAAAGGAGAACTATGAGGCGAGTTGGCTCAATAGATCGGGAAGGGAGCGAACACATATCGTCGCTCGCTCACTTCTCGATCATGTCCCTGCAGAGAGCCATGACTGTCACTCATGGCTCCCGGCAGGGATTCCCCCCCTCCCCTGTCCGATCCTCCAGCGCTGATTGGGGGAACGTACGGGGGAGGGGGCGGGTACAGCTGGCTCTGATAGATAGGCAGAGCCAGCTGTCAATCTTGCAGCTGGGTGGATCTCGACAGTAATGTCGGGATCCGTCCCGGCTGCGGCGATCTCAGTATACCGCGAGTTGTAGCTGGCTCAGAGATGACATAACCATGTAAATATTGATGCCTGTTTAATTCTTGGTTGTATTCATAAATGTATAGATCAGCCCCTGGTGCAGCCTCTCACTCTGCAACTTGCTACAAAATCGTCATTATCCTGCATGAGCTCCACCCTCAATTCGTCTTCATGGAAAGCCCGTTCATAACTCAAAGTTATCAAAATACTGCATGCGTTTTGGTTTTACTAACTGACCCTAATGCAATACACAGTTCGAATAAAAAAACCATGTCTGTAAAAAAAAAAAAAACTTGAATCGCTACACCCTTTAAACTGCCAGCTGATCCAAAATAATCCCGACAACCCTCATGGTCCAATCCCTCTAAAGGTGAGCATACACCTGCCGATTATCGTACGATCATCACGTGTGATCCTGCAATCGTACGATAATCGGCAGGTGTATGGGCAGCGTGCGACTGCATTTACTGCATGGTCGCACGACTTTCGTCTTCCTAGCACGCTGGAAAACCTGCCGAAATCGTACGATTTTTGGCGAGTCGTTAGCATGCTCGGAAAACAAAAGCCGCACGGGCAGGTGTGCACAAGCGCCCGCCCGCGCACTGCCCGCTCAGCATTGCAATCATCGGCAAGCCCTCCCCTCAGTGGGGAGGGCTTGTGATGATGGCAAGTACGATCTGCCTGTCCAAGATGGGCAGGTGGTACGAAATTTTAATGACCTTACAACCAGGGGCGTAACTAGAAATCACAGGGCCCCATAGCAAAATTTTGTATGGGCCCTGTGATTTCTAGTTACACCCCTTGATGAGCCCACTTGAGATTCCACACAGCTTACCTCAGGGTGACCCTGCAGAGCCCACCATAGACTCTCTATGGTGGGCTTTGCAGGGTCACCCTCAGGTGGGCTGGTCACACTCCTTACCTGTCCGCCTCTTCTTCGTCCGTCTTCCCTCCTCCGTCCCTCCTGCTGGTTCTCATTGACTCAGTGCGGAGAGAAGAACGCACCTCTGCACAGATCACTGACAGTGATCTAAACAGCGGCGCGTTCGAAGCCATAGCGACCCAGGCGGCCGGCTGGGCATCAGAGGGGTGTCCTGGCCGGGCCCCCCTGTGCCCGGGCCCCATAGTGGCCACCTGGGTCGCTATGGCGATTGTTACGCCACTGCTTACAACCATCGCACAACAAAAGTCGTGCTATTAAGGTGTATGGGCAGCTTTACTGGGAATACAATCCTTCCTGAGTACCAGAAGCAATTAGACAACTGCCCGGATCAACAATGTTATTTATTATTAGGTTGTAGTCATGCTTATTTCGTGCACTTAGGTCCGTCTGTAGATTGTAAATGTCTATTTCCCCATTTGCAAAGAGTGAATTTGTGTCTTTTGATAGGACTTTAAAATGAACAACTTTCCTGAGAATTTACTATATTCATTATTTTTACATGAAGTTGATCATACTCCCCTCTCATTCCTAATCTTCTTTTGTCTTAGGGGAACCAATTCTATTCTGCTCACCTTTCCTCGTGTATTTCTTTTAAATTTGCATAATAAAAAACAGCAATGACAGAGCCCTGTGTCATACAACAGAAAGATTTGGGGGCATGCATGGCACTTTTTACCAGGAAACAAAAGGCCCCTATATACTGTAGGTGGATAGGACAAGGTCAGCACAAAATCAGAACCCTCCAGTGGCTCCACACGCAAAGAAACAACCCAGAGTCCAAAAGTTCCCAGGATTGATTCCAGGCAAGGGTGTGCCAGTATGTGAAAGTGGTACAAAGTAATTGAGAATGCCAGGAGTCAGACCTCTAGTGTTTTTGGGCCAGTGAGACTTAGGTGTGTGTCCATGATAGACTGGAGATACGTCTTGTCCATGAAGACATCATTGTGAGGACATGTCCAGAACATGTGGAGGGTGTTAGCTGGAGTTTTACAGCACGAATGACATTGTGCATGAGATACAAGGTTGATACTTTGAAATCTGTCCAGCATATAATGTAGTTGGTCAATGAATTTAAATTGCATGAGTTTGTCGGCCTCCTTGCACATCCTGGGTTTAATTGCCCCTTCTCTGACCTCTTTGGAGTTCCATGACATTATTTGTGTACAAAACTGAACTATTTTCAGTGGAATTACACAGCCTCTTATCCCTTACAGTCAAAGAAAGTGCACTCTTAGCCTCTCTTTGGATTGCAGTTGCCATGGTGCTGCACATGTGATCAACAATGACACCATCCATTTGAGGGCTTAAATGCTCGATTGAGAGCTGAAATAAGTACTTTTACTACAGAAAAGTACTTTGCATGCTATAGAATCTGCAGATTGGCAGTGTGTGCATTAGATGATACCTAAACCCAAGAAGAAAAAGGTAATCTACAGTATTGCATCTTACCATTCCTTAGATGTGGTAACTGCATTAGTTATTACCCTTTTTATCCCTTTATTTTCACCTGGGGATCGTTTCACCCTAGAACAGGAAGTCCCCCCCCCCCCTCTTCTGAATAACATGCTGGGGTGTTCTGTAGTTCACAGAGGAGTACTGGACAGGGCTGCTAACAATGCTTGAGATTTCAGTGCAGCCCAGGCAGAGAGCACAGGGCGTTATGAGCTCACTGAATTTCTTTCAGGATCACCAGATATTTTTTGCACTTATAGAACAGATATAACAAAACACTTCCACTGTTAAATTTAAAGTGACATTAAAGTCACAATGTTTTGTTCCCCTTCCCAATCCTGCTGTAGAGACTTACCTTAAATCATGCCTCTAGATTCGATCACCTTCTTCGTTACTGTCCTTTTTAGCTGTCCCTCCAGTGCTGGTGCGGGTGTCCGACCCAGCGCTGACTCCTCTGTCCTTCTCTTCTCTCATGTCCCACGGTGTCTGTGCGGGTGCACGCTGCTCCATAGACTTACCTTGTGTCTCTCCTCAACTCCCGTCTGAAAATCTGAACTGCGCATGCGCCCGCCCCATCGAGACTCTTCAGATGTTCGGTCGGGAGCGTGCGGCGAAGACACAGGTAAGTTTAAACCCTTTTTGAAAGTTTTTTTTAAATGTTTTTGCATATATCTACTGCTTCCTAGCAGTAGATATATGCAAAAACACGCTGAGGGTTTAATAACCATTTAAGAGACCAAAAGGAAGCAAAAATGAGGCCATCCTTAGGGTTTGCATACATTTAAATAATGTCCTTCCATAAAGTCCTTTCAGAGATTTCTAGAGGTTCTAAGCACAATGTAAAATATTTTAATATTTAAAATAGTATTGGTGTTTCTGGTGTATATTGATAGAAATAGTATATAATAGGAAGTGTGTATACAGGAATTACATTGACAGATAGAGAACAGTAATGGGTGCCATTCTTGAAAAGGCTCTAGTTTGTAGAACTTCCTTTTTAGATGAAGGTTGGACAACTCGGTGTCTCTGTTGGCTACACCTCCAATTCTGTGCGATGAATGACACAAATAAGGTTTCCAAAACGACCAATCTTTCCACAGGTTAAAGAAGGAAATGGTCCAGCGGGTAAATACTGTGGCATCTGAATTCCGCCGGGTGTCCAACAGCCAGATGGCGGAGACTACAAAGCGAGCTATCCGTGAGAATGTCGCTATTGGTTCTCAGCTGGCCAAGATGTCAGACAAGAGCTTGGAGCTCATCGATGAGAACGACCTACTGAAAGAGCGAGAATCTGAACTCTGCAAACAGCTGGTGGTGCTGGAGGAGAATGAGTGGGAGCTGGTGAAGAAAAGTCTCAGCAACCAAAGGGTGACATATTGTTCTCAACCTTGTGTGAAGTGTAATCCCAGAGAGAATGTTCAGAGATGGATCATAATCCTGGAGACAGTGTTCAGAGATGGAACATAATCCTAGAGACAGTGTTCAGAGATGGGTCATAATCCTAGAGACAGTGTTCAGAAATGGGTCATAATACTAGAGACAGTGTTCAGAGATGGGTCATAATCCTAGAGACAGTGTTCAGAAATGGGTCATAATACTAGAGACAGTGTTCAGAGATGGGTCATAATCCTAGAGACAGTGTTCAGAAATGGGTCATAATACTAGAGACAGTGTTCAGAGATGGGTCATAATCCTAGAGACAGTGTTCAGAAATGGGTCATAATACTAGAGACAGTGTTCAGAGATGGGTCATAATCCTAGAGACAGTGTTCAGAAATGGGTCATAATACTAGAGACAGTGTTCAGAGATGGGTCATAATCCTAGAGACAGTGTTCAGAAATGGGTCATAATACTAGAGACAGTGTTCAGAGATGGGTCATAATCCTAGAGACAGTGTTCAGAAATGGGTCATAATACTAGAGACAGTGTTCAGAGATGGGTCATAATCCTAGAGACAGTGTTCAGAAATGGGTCATAATACTAGAGACAGTGTTCAGAGATGGGTCATAATCCTAGAGACAGTGTTCAGAAATGGGTCATAATACTAGAGACAGTGTTCAGAGATGGGTCATAATCCTAGAGACAGTGTTCAGAAATGGGTCATAATACTAGAGACAGTGTTCAGAGATGGGTCATAATCCTAGAGACAGTGTTCAGAAATGGGTCATAATACTAGAGACAGTGTTCAGAGATGGGTCATAATCCTAGAGACAGTGTTCAGAAATGGGTCATAATACTAGAGACAGTGTTCAGAGATGGGTCATAATCCTAGAGACAGTGTTCAGAAATGGGTCATAATACTAGAGACAGTGTTCAGAGATGGGTCATAATCCTAGAGACAGTGTTCAGAAATGGGTCATAATACTAGAGACAGTGTTCAGAGATGGGTCATAATCCTAGAGACAGTGTTCAGAAATGGGTCATAATACTAGAGACAGTGTTCAGAGATGGGTCATAATCCTAGAGACAGTGTTCAGAAATGGGTCATAATACTAGAGACAGTGTTCAGAGATGGGTCATAATCCTAGAGACAGTGTTCAGAAATGGGTCATAATACTAGAGACAGTGTTCAGAGATGGGTCATAATCCTAGAGACAGTGTTCAGAAATGGGTCATAATACTAGAGACAGTGTTCAGAGATGGGTCATAATCCTAGAGACAGTGTTCAGAAATGGGTCATAATACTAGAGACAGTGTTCAGAGATGGGTCATAATCCTAGAGACAGTGTTCAGAAATGGGTCATAATACTAGAGACAGTGTTCAGAGATGGGTCATAATCCTAGAGACAGTGTTCAGAAATGGGTCATAATACTAGAGACAGTGTTCAGAGATGGGTCATAATCCTAGAGACAGTGTTCAGAAATGGGTCATAATACTAGAGACAGTGTTCAGAGATGGGTCATAATCCTAGAGACAGTGTTCAGAAATGGGTCATAATACTAGAGACAGTGTTCAGAGATGGGTCATAATCCTAGAGACAGTGTTCAGAAATGGGTCATAATACTAGAGACAGTGTTCAGAGATGGGTCATAATCCTAGAGACAGTGTTCAGAAATGGGTCATAATACTAGAGACAGTGTTCAGAGATGGGTCATAATCCTAGAGACAGTGTTCAGAAATGGGTCATAATACTAGAGACAGTGTTCAGAGATGGGTCATAATCCTAGAGACAGTGTTCAGAAATGGGTCATAATACTAGAGACAGTGTTCAGAGATGGGTCATAATCCTAGAGACAGTGTTCAGAAATGGGTCATAATACTAGAGACAGTGTTCAGAGATGGGTCATAATCCTAGAGACAGTGTTCAGAAATGGGTCATAATACTAGAGACAGTGTTCAGAGATGGGTCATAATCCTAGAGACAGTGTTCAGAAATGGGTCATAATACTAGAGACAGTGTTCAGAGATGGATCATAATCCTAGAGACAGTGTTCAGAAATGGGTCATAATACTAGAGACAGTGTTCAGAGATGGATCATAATCCTAGAGAGAGTGTTCAGAGATGGGTCATAATACTAGAGACAGTGTTCAGAGATGGGTCATACCTGTAATGTGTTATCCTAGAGACGGTGTTTTGGCTTTTACATTCTAGGTGATCCGCATGTTAACTGAGAAGTGCCAACAACAGCAGGAGATGTTGGACGTGGGTGTCCAGAAAGAGCATGAACTACATGAGCTGCATCTGGAGCATCAGACCCTGCAGGAGGAAGCACAAACCCTCAGGTGACTTATACAAGGAATTTCTTTGCAGACCTTAAGATGTGACCTTTAGATGCAGTTAATAATGGGGTATCATGTATAAAATATAAGCAGTCACCCAACACACAACAAATTACTGGACCTCTCAGCAGCCTGTACTAGTGCTAAACATTTACAGCCTGGTCCAGGGCCAGGCCGGGGGTTAGACACAGAAGACACACAGGTACAACAACGCAGGGATGAAGTCAACCTTCTGCTCTACCCTCAGACAACACTGTGCAAAGTAGTATAAGGTGATATCATAACAATTCAGATACAAAAGCTAATATAAGTAAAAATATATTTAAAGTCCAACTCTGGGATTATTGTTGTTTTATGATTAAAAAAGGTCCCTCAGTGCAATAAAATAAAAAAGCAGCACAGGCTGCAATAGTCGCTTTCAGTCCAGCACTGTATTCTGCAGTACCTCTCCTCCACCACAACATGTCCTCAGTCTTGCGGATTGAACAATGTCCAGTGTCACTCAACCTAAAGGACTCAGGAGAGACTGTAAGGACTCTGCAGCATCACATGACTGGCCTGAAATTATTAATAACAATAGCAAAGCATACATTTTTTTTTAAACTATTGATAGAAATATTGGATAGCGTTGGGAAGTGTTGAAGCCTCTACAGGTTTTAATTACTGGCTGTGTCCCCATTGGGGATCATTGTCATCAGTACAGAAAGTGATGGAAAATCCAAATTTTTCAAGTTGTTACATGAACTGGAGAGGGGAATCTTTCAATGCGAACACCTGTTCCGGTGACAACTGTCTAAGAGTGGATTCCCTCTTACTTGGTACAGATTTTTTCTCACTTCCTGTTGCATCCCTTGGACAGGGATTGAAGCTTAATTCCCCCAATGGGACACATACATCTGATTTCCCAAGGTAGGGAACAACAATTAAAGCCTAACAGAGGTTGTAGCATTATCTAATACAAGCTGGAGTTTTAAAATTCCATCTACAGTAGAATACTACAAACTAGGGATGCTCCGATATATCGGCCCCCGAAACATATCGGCCGAAAATGGCACTTTTAGCTAAATGCCGAAAGTGCCATTTTTCTGCCTATACAGCGGCGCATCCATTCTTTCTCTCCTCCCCGCTGGGCGCTGCTCTGTGTCCCAACGTGGAGGAGAGAAACTGTGACAGCCGGCCGAGCGCTGCGGGAGTAGATCACTGTGAGCGGCCGGAGTCTCTCCTCCCACACCGCTCAGCCTCCTATCACAGTCCGGCAAAGCGGTGTGTGGGCGGAGACAGCCAGCGCTGTCACAAGAGGGTGTGCTTTCCTCCCTACACCGCTCGCTCAGCCTCCTGTGACAGCTGTCAGGATGGGGAGCGAGAGCAAACACTTAACGATCAGTGATCTCTTGAGTGTTTGTAGATAATTGAGGACAGAGTATGTGTACTATATCCCCAATTATTAATGAATGGGAAGTGATCTACATCTCCTCCTGTTCATTCATGATTGTGGTTATAGTAAACACACTCTGTTATAAATCAACAGGAACACTCAGTATAGAGGATTCCTGTTCATTTATAACAGGGGATGCAGAAAAAGAGATTGAAGACTCTGTGTCCTTAATTTCTTTTTCTATTTTAAAAGGGAAATATCAGGGGTGTGTTTAGACCCCCCAATATTTCATAGTTACATAGTATTTGAGGTTGAATAAAGACACAGGTCCATGAAGTTCAACCTATTGCGTGTATGTATGTGATTCTGCATGTGTATGCGTGTGTACAAGTCCCTGTGTGTTCTAGTTTCCTGTACCCCTGCATGTTAGGGTCTCTGAGGAAGTTGTGCAAATGCTTAAAATTTCACAGAAGCCCCTAAAAGTAAAGTTAAAAATATTTAATAAAAAATTAATAAATAAATACAAATAAATATTAAAAAATACAAAGTTTATTAAAAATAAATGAAAATTAAATATTTGAAAAAATTAAAATAAACATTTACGGTTTCGGCCTGACAATTTTTTTTTGTTTTCGGTTTCGTTTCGGTTTTTACATTTTTATTTCGGTGCACATCTACTAAAAACTGTAAAGGACCCACAGATAGTCTTCCATGCATTGTAGGATTGCCCAAATGTCAGTTGTATACCACTGATGGTGCCAAAACCTATTGTAGGTTGTACTTAACAAAGTTCAGAATTTAAAGGGAATGGATAGTGTTTTTGTATATATTTTTGTATCCTGTTCAGAACAAAAAATTATATTGCAATATTTATTTTTTATTTTGTGGTCAGGTAGACATGAAGTATTGAAATATTGCATGTGGACATTTTATATTTACTATTTAGAGCCAAGAGGTGGAGCTTTGAGTTCCTTTTCATCTATTTACTAGGCTAACTTTAACTGTTTTGCTGAAAAAAGATGTTTACAGAGCTAAATAGCTGCTGCTCAATCTACACAAATAGGTGAATGATTGACCTCCTTCCCCCTGTTCTGTATGGATATTTAGCTAAAGAGGGAGAATCTACTGCTGTGCTCTGTCTTTAGATTCTGCTGCAAAATCAGTGCAATGGATGTGTCCTGTAATAGATGTTAAGCTATAAAAAAAAAATAGCTCTTGTAATTATAATGCTACCAAATGTCCATTAAAAAAATAAATATAACTGACCCCTTCTAACCTCTGTCCTTTCCTTTGGAGGACTGTGTTTTTTCGAGCATTGGTCAATGTTGAACTTCTATACAGGGAATGTGTTGATTAAAACTTTGGACTGGACATGTGAGTTTTTATGGACCGCTGGCTTTTCTTGGACAATGGAACCTTGGTCATTTTAGTGTTGGGAATGAAGAGAGTGTACCCAAGAACCCCACGGGGAGGCCCACGGTTGCAACTGATTTCATTGTCAGTTGCAACCGTTGTAACTCAAACAATGCAGCAGCCTTGTAAGTGGGGGTAAGAATGGTAACTGTAGCCAAACCGGTTAAAACTTGGACATTGGAATGGTAGCACTGCACTGAGCAGGTGTAGGGACCAACTACTGTAAGACCCCATTCACACCTAGGCGTATTGTAATATGCGCGTCTGTCGCGCGACCGTCATGCGGTTTTTTTACCGCGATTCGCGGTAAAAAAGTCGCGCGATTCCAAAGGCTACTTGGCTGTATCCCAATGGAAAACGCCCTACAAAACAGCCCAAAGTAGTCCCGGGACCTTTTCAGGTGTGGGCCGTTTTGTAGGGCGTTAGGGACGGGCGGAAATACGCCTAGGTGGGAACGAGGGCATTGACTACAATGCTATTTATTTTTTTTACCGTTTTGTAGCGCGTTCGTCGAGCGTAGGACGCGCTACAAAACGGTCAGGTGTGAACGCAGCCTAAAAGCATTCTCTTGCCCTTGGCACATGTTACAAAGAATGATAGCATCATAGAGGACTTCAGTTAGGAAAAATAAGGAAGAGTACCACACTGACTGAAGTATACTTTCCTCCAAAGACACACAGTAGTTGGCTTTTCATAATACAGTATATTATTACCAATAAAGCTGTGGTGTGTTCCCTCTAGTCAGAGAATGGTCCATCTGGAAGACGAGTTGCAGAGATTGATGGCAGAGAAGAGCGAGGTGATTGGCCAGATGGAGGATGAGAAGAAGAGGAGGCATTCGGTGGAGAGGGTCTTGAGAGAGGCAGCTTTGTCTCTGAAAGATGTGCTTATGGTATGGATTTGCACAGTAAGCTAATTGCATTAACAAGCTTGAAAACAAATTTTATAATCTTAAACTGCACAGAATATATAGTGGAGCAAATGTAAAAACAGTGGAATGCCTAATAGATTGTAATCCGTCCTTCAATGTTTGTATAAATCCAGGTGCTGTTAGATATTCATATATCTAGGCGTGTAATTTTTCCATCCATAGACGGACCCCATATGTGAATGTCACACCTATGTGCAGTGAACACACATTCCAGGTCTTCATGATGTCTAGTAGGTTTTTCTGGTTGTGGACTTCAATATTATGTCATAGCTTTAGGAGGGAAATCATCATTGATGGTATGACAGTAGGACATCTGGCTGCCAGCCTAGACCAGAATTGTGAAGCTTGTCCTTTTAAATGTCAATTCAAAAATGTTTCAATGTGCCACTTTAATTACAGTAATACCTGCTGATCTTACTATGAAGGTCCTTGATTAGGTACCTCCTGGTATGGGGTGACGATGTTCTGTGCCTTTCTCCCAAATGTGCTCCTACAATCTATTGACCACTGAGCACAGAAAGTGCTGGGAAATGCCAAGCTTTACACCAAAAACTAGAGTAGAGGGGGAAATTTTCCAGTGCCGTGTTCGTTCCAGTTTTTCCTAGCCTTTTAGCCTACCAGAATTGTCAATTTGCCGTTTCTAAACAGCCGATGGATCGCTTGTATGGGGTGCCAATCGGATGGCACTCCACAGGGTAGCCTACTGACGTGCTCACCAGTGTCTCAGCCACATACTGGGCAAGCAGGAGTGTAGAACCAGTTGCGGAGTGGCTAGCCACTGAGAGAACACAGCAGGCAGCTCTCTGACCCTCTGCTGGCATCCCTGCCAACTGCCTGAGAGCTGCACAGAATAAATAATGGGGCCACATGCAACCCTCAGGTCTAAAGTCTGCTGTCATATGTCTCTGTGTTTTGTTACCTGTTTCTGTACTGTAATATCGCAGCAGCAGTACAGAAATGGTTACATGGTATGATATTAGGACTTCTATTCCTACTTAATGTCATTGTTTGTGTCTGTGCAGGAGTCACCCAGACCTGAGGCGGAGGATACAGAAGCCATGTTATTAGAAAGGCGAAACCAAGTTTTGGAGAAACTCTTGGTGCTGCTCAGCAGTGCGGCCACTTTAGGCTTTGGGCCAGGCTTAAACGACTTCCAGAGCAAAGATAACCAATCCATGGACAATCACATTACACCTGCAGTCAGCAGGTACAATTTATTTTTTTCTTTCAATAAAACTTTTTTGTTTTGTTTTACATTACATTGAAGCATTCAAATACAACTGAGGTATACATTCGTAGATTTTAACATAGTATGAACTAAGATATTCTTTAACCTTCTACCTTATGGGCAATGCTGCCAATGGAGCATTGTTGACGTTACCAGTGTTTAGCAGTAGCCAGTAATCTGTTTTTAAACCAAAGATCCAGTATAACTAAGTAACAGCTTGTAAGTTGGATCTAACAATAGTGAAAATAAGTGGGCATAAAGGGACAAAGATTTTCCCTCTGCCACCCCAGCCTTACGCCGGGGGGAAGAGGGTCAAGGAGGGGGTAAAATCAGGATAGAGAGGGGGTTAGAGTATAGTAGAGCAGTAGAGGTGGGAGTGAGACCCGGTAGGAGTGGTCCAATCCCTGTGTATTGGTAATTGGATGAGAAACCTTTCTCCAAGTTCAGAGCGTCAGTAATGGAGTGTCAAAAGAGCACATCTGTAGATGTTGAATCCAAGGGTCCCATATCTGCTCAAAGCGTGGGACTTTATCAGTCAACCGCGCTGTGAGGCATTCGTTAGTGAAGAACCATTGGAGTCTACGTTCTACTTCCGCAAAAGGCAGTGTGGGGGATTGCCATGATTTCGCTATTGTCTGTTTAGCCGCTGTTTTAGACCATGCAATAAACGTTTGTGCTGTTTAGGCGTGACTTCCTTGGGGGACAGGTTGAGTAGGGTGACTTTTGGATCCGGTGTGAGAGCCATAATTGACGAAAAAAAATCAAATACTGGAGCCAAAAAAGTCTGCACTATGGGGCATTGCCACCATACATGTTTGTCGGAGCCCACCTCTCCGCAACCCCTGAAGCACTGGCCATCATGGCCCGGGACCATGCAAGGGCTACATCACCAGTGCCTCACTCAACCAGGCAAGGGCTACATCACCAGTGCCTCACTCAACCAGGCCAGGGCTACACCACCAGTGCCTCACTTAACCAGGAAAGGTCTAGATCACCAGTGCCTCACTCAACCAGGCCAGGGCTACACCACCAGTGCCTCACTTAACCAGGCCAGGGCTACACCACCAGTGCCTCACTCAACCAGGCAAGGGCTACATCAACCGTGCCTCACTCAACCAGGCAAGGGCTACATCACCAGTGCCTCACACAACCAGGCAAGGGCTACATCACCAGTGCCTCACTCAACCAGGCCAGAGCTACATCACCAGTGCCTCACACAACCAGGCAAGGCTACATCACCAGTGCCTCACTCAACCAGGCCAGGCCTACACCACCAGTGCCTCACTCAACCAGGCAAGGGCTACATCAACAGTGCCTCACTCAACCAGGCAAGGGCTACATCACCAGTGCCTCACTCAACCAGGCAAGGGCTACATCACCAGTGCCTCACTCAACCAGGCAAGGGCTACATCACCAGTGCCTCACTCAACCAGGCAAAGACTACATCACCAATGAAAGTAAGATGATTTCATATCAGCGTGCAGAACTGCATACTGATGTGATTTTTACTGAAATGAGCTTAAGGCCCGCTTTAAAGTGACATTAAAGTCCCAATCTTGCTGTAGGGACTTACCTTAAATGATGCCTCTTGATTCGATCATCTTCTTCTTTACTGTCCTTTTCATCAGTCCCTCCAGCGCTGGTGTGGGTCTCCGATCCAGCGCTGACTCCTCTGTCCTCCTTTTCTCTCATGTCCCACGGTGTCTGTGCGGGTGCACGCTGCTCCATAGACTTACCTTGTGTCTCTCCTCATCTCCCGGGCCAAAGATCTGAACTGCGCATGCGCCCGCCCCAAGATCCTTTGTGGCCGCCCGAGAATCTTAAGATGTTTGGACGGGAGCGTGCGGCGAAGACACAGGTACGTTTTTAAAGCCTTTTTAAAAAGAAATGTTTGCATATATCTACTGCTTGCTAGCCGTAGATATACAGGTGAAACTCGAATAATTAGAATATCGTGCAAAAGTAATTGCAGTAAGTGCTGCAAAAGGGGCCCAAACCAAGTACTGAGTATATATGCATGCTTGTACTTTTCAGAGGTCCGATATTGTTCTATGTACAATCCTTGTTTTATTGATTGCATGTAATAATCTACTTTTTTGAGGTTGTGGATTTGGGGTTCTTGGGGTTTTCATGAGCTGTAAGCCATAATCATCACAATTATGACAAATCACGGCTTGATATTATCTTGCTTTGCATGTAATGAGTCTCTCTCATATATTAGTTTCACCTTTTAAGTTGCATTAGTGAAATAAATGAACTTTGCACGATATTCTAATTATTCGAGTTTCACCTGTATGCAAAAACCGCTGAGGGTTTAATAACCCTTTAAGTCCCTAAAACTGACGTTTCAAAAAAGAACGTCCAAAGAATGTTGAAAAAAAATGTGTTGTGTCCTTTTTCTCACCTTTGAAGATGGTATTTGAAATACGTTGTAGGAGCACTGTAAACACATGGTGGTTTCTTTTAGGCACCTTGTATCACCCACCTTGAAGGGCCCGGGCGTCATTCCTCATTACCAGATAGGAGATCTGGGACTGGTACCGAGACATGATACCTCTTGTGCCGTGCTCAGCAAAATTGGAATGCTTTCTAAAACCACAAGACTTGGGCCTATACAAGCCAACCCAGGCCTAGCAAAGGTAGGACCTCATATGTGATGTTCCTGTTAGCTGTCCAAGTCCATATAGAAGTCACAAAGAAGCAATTATGAAATGTCTTGTACCCAAAAAACTTTGATCACCAAAGTGAAAACAGCAGTCGTTATTGTTATGTGTCTTTCAGTGAGAACCTTCAGCATGGAAAAAGATACCATAAATGTATGTGTTTGTCTTTTAGGCCCTGCTATCAATGAGCCAGGAGGCAAGACTACCCAAACAAAGCGCATTACCCGGAATCCCTACCACATCTGGCAGCAAGCCGATTCTTTTGGCTAAGTGATTATAATAGACATACAATAAAAAAGCTGATAAAGAATTGAAGATATAGCAGAGGATTTTGTGACAACCTGACTACAGCTATTATATGATACGTGGTAGAGGTACGGTTATCAAGGGATAAATAGTATAGAAATGGGGTTCTGCATAGAAAGTGACTGTCTACCTCGCCATATGTGGGGAACAAACGATCGCAGGCTGGCACCACATCATCAATAAGATGACGGACGGGACAGTTCCATCTGTTCTACTGATGGAGTTTAGGTAAGGAGCAGCATCCTGACGCTGTACCATATAGACTCAGGTCCTGTTCGCACGACGTCCGTATTCTGCGCTGACCTGATCCGTACGCTCCTGCACTAAATATGCATCCCAATGTATCCCTATGTGTTTTATGGGCTACAGTTCTCAGGTGCGCAGTCTGTTCCGTTCCTGACTGAAAAAATACTGCATGTCACATTTTGTCAGGTCAGGAAACGCACGAACGTGTCAAAAACGCAACGAAAATGGATGCAATGCAGCTAAGCAAAAAAAAATGTATTCTTGCTCCACTTTTTATGATGTCATCATCGTTGGACTTCCTTGTTGTGGTGGAGCATCAGAGGGAAAACCAGCAGTCATGACTAACATGGCCCTGGATATTGAACGATTCGTCGGATTGATGGAGCATGCGCCAATGCTCTACGACCCCCGCCACACACAGGCCCCTAGTCAGTAACTGTGAGTCACCAGAGGTGCACTAAACGGTAAATGGGAATTTTTTGGTGAAGTGGAGATTGCTCAGATGCCTGCTTGTTACCATATGCATGGTAAGTGTTAAAGCAGAACTGTGACCATGCCATGGACCTACAACTATTTACATATTCTTAAAGGAGAACTAGGAGGTGAGTGATTTTTCACCCAACCTCATAGTTCGAGCCGACCTGTGACAATGAAACTGTCAAACTGTCAGTCGCTCGCTCACTTCTTGATCATCTCCCCGCAGAGAGCAGTGACTGTCAGTCACAGCTCACCGCAGGGATTACCCCTCCCCTGTCCGATCCTCCAGCGCTGTCTGGTGGAGGGGGCGGGCACAGCTGGCTCTGCCTCTAGATAGGCAGAGCCAGCTGTCAATCACGCAGCTGGGTGGATCTCGACAGTAATGTCATGATCCGTCCCGTGTGCGGCGGTCTCAGTATACCGTGAGCTGTAGCTCGCGATATACTGAGCTTTGGGTCACGGTAGGACGCTAGTTTATGCTCCCCGTGACCCTTAGGAGAACTATGGGAAAAAACACTGACCCCATAGTTCTCCTTTAACTAGCGGAAAAAATGCTTTAACCCTATTAATGCCAAGGGAGTGTCCTACGCATCATGGCATTAAATGGGTTAAACAAGCTTATATCTGCAGTAGCCACACTTGTTCCATTAACATTCATGATTCATGTTTGGTGGGAATGAGATCAGCTCCAGTCCTCCTGTCTGCTTTCCATTGATCTGCGACTTTCAGTCTCCATACCAGCAGATTAAAAGCTGCCATTTCAACACTGTGTCTGGTACCCGACATGCCATGGTTACCCAAACCAACCACCTGGATAGAAAAATCTCAGGATCTGCTCCACACAACACTAAGGGGTCTAGTTATATAAACAAAATTGCATAGCTATTCATCCAGCGAACTTGCATATACATTCATTCTATGCGAGATAACCAGCTGTTGTGAGAATGGGGAGGAATCGAATGATTTTAGTGTAAGCTCTGTTCTGGTCGAATGTTCGTAAGAATATAAATAATATTAGTCAGCTGGTTCTTACTCTGATTTGAAGATGAAATGAACATTCGTATAATAGGAATATTCCTGTCACTTCAAACAACACCGGTATTACTGTATTGCAAGTAGATACATTAGCCAGAGAGCCGGAAATAATAATCACATAGACCGGTCCTGATGATTGTCTTTGGCAGATAGAAACAATGTTGCAGAAAAAGTAGATATACTTATTGCTGTGACGATCCGTGCAGAGTCCAGAGGCTGTACGGATCATCAGAGGGATAATTAGGTGAGGTCTGCAGGGATCATGATGGGATGGACCAATAAAGGTATGTGATGCCAACAAAGGGACATTAGACCATCTCCATGACTGGGTAGAACTGAAAAGAGTATAATTAAATTAAAGGAACAAGGTAACATATAGATAAATCGAGGCGGGATATAAGTATCTTGTGATCCCGTGTCCCCCTGTCATAAAACAAGAAAAAATGGTATAAACATACATTATTGGGATTTCGGTATCGAGTACTGATATTTTTTTCCCCCGGTACTCGCAGATACAGAGTACCGGTGCTGTGTGCCCTGATTATCAGAAAGTTGGGTGGCAGATCATGAACCATCGCTTGGCTTCCTGATTGCCTCGGAGGCCAGTGTTCTATCAAAAGAACGCCTGCTTCACTTGCCGAGTCGGCCTGGCTTCCTGGCCAATCAGGAAGCCGGGCGACGGGTCATGAGGTGCCGTCCGGCTTCCTGATTGGTTAGGAAGCCAGGCTGCCTAACAATAAGTGAAGCCGGATTCCTAGCCAATCAGGAAGCCGGAGGCAGGACATAACTCTCCGCCTGATTGGAAAGGAAGCCAGCTCCATGCTCCCTCGGCACTGCTGGTCAGAGGGAGATCTCCCTGGGACCGGAAGCTCCAGTAGCGGAGCATTTGGCTGAGTATGAGTACTCGCCCAAATACTCGGTATCGGTGCATCCTTAATACATTATATAGCGTTGTTTCCATAACAACTGGAACAAGATATTATAATTTCCCAGGAAGATATGCGGTCTTGCAAGATCCTGTTGAAAGCAATGAAATGGAAAGCGTCAAGTTAAAGGAGAACTATGAGGTGAGTGCTTTTCACTCACCTCATAGTTCTAGCCGACCTGTGACAATGAGACTGTCACAGGTCGGCTCAGTAGATCGGGAAGTGAGCGAACACATACCGGCGTTCGCTCACCTCTCGATCCTGTCACGGCTCCCTGCCGTGACAGGGGAGGGACTGGATTCCCCCCTCCCCCGCTCCGATCCTCCAGTGCTGACTGGCGGAACGGACGGGGAACGGGGCGGGTACAGCTGGCTCTGCCTTTAGATAGGCAGAGCCAGCTGTCACTCACGCAGCTGGGCGCATGCAGACATAATTGTCGGGATCCGCTTCAGCTGCGGCGTCTCAGTATACCGCGAGCTGTAGCTCCCTATATACTGAGCCTAGGGTGACGGGAGGACGCTACTTTGTGTCCTCCTGTTACCCTAAGGAGACATATGGGGAAAAGCCCTAACCCCATAGTTCTCCTTTAAGAAAAACATTAGATGAGCTTTAGTTAATGACAACAGCAGGTATTCATTCGCACCGTAGGAAATGGTATTTAAAGATAATATCCTATGTAGATGATGAGAAATGAGTGATCCTGAAAGCCTCACTTCCGTAATAAAGAACTGGAGTTACAAGCTATACCCCAAGAATGAGACATATGTCTGGAAAATATCTTGGAACTATTCTGTCCATACAAGTATTGAGCTGAGGTCATTTATCATAAGTCAAGTATGAGTACTGGAATTTACTAAACCAAATGACCCAAGAAAACCCCATTGAAAGGAGCATAAATAATTATATATACAGCATCTGTTATCTCAGAATTGACCTGCCAGATATATTGTGGCCTATAAAACGATGTGTGATGCTACCACGCCAAATCTTTGTACAGCGGCAGAAAGAAAGTGGAATAAAATGTAAGAGAGCAGGCTGAAAAAGCAACAGAGCATTGGGGGAGCACACATCTGGTGGTAGGGAGGACAGCCAGTCACAACATTAGAGTTGAGCAATATATTATAGACAGACCTGGAACCAGTGTTATCATCCAGAGGTGTCAGAAAGCAGAACAGAGAACTAGTCAGATTGGCCTTGGAAAGTCTAATAAAGCAAGAATGGAGGTGCCACCAAATGAAGAAGAGTCTAAAATGTTTTACTGTTAGAGATAGAAAAAAGCATCAAGAGGGGAAATAAATGTGACTGTGGGTTCTAGATTTCCCTTACCCTGCCAAGGAAAAGCATTTTTATTTCTGTCTGTGTTATTTTTTCCTCACTTCCTGTCTGGTAAAATATTGTCAGCAGGACAGGAAGTGAGAAGATAGCAGCGAGGACCCAACAAGGGTCGTACCCTTCCCCACTTTATCCAAAACCAAGAAGTTAATCTGGGCAAACACTTTAAATAACTGGCATGTGCTAAGCTAAAAAAAATTCCAGCAGCACATCATAGTGAAGAGGTCATCAGGCCAGGTTTCCATTCCCAACTTTGTCCACATGGTGAAGATTTCCTGTATCCAGAATAAATATTTGGCTGACATTTACACTGAGTAGAACACCCAACAAAACTTGGTTTCTAGTTGTGTAGAGTGAGGAACGGTTGGAATTCCTGTCAGATTTTTATTGCTGCTTATGTCCCCGTTGATTGACACCATTTGTCATGGTGATGGGCGCACCAAAACAGGAAGTGAGGGTGGTTGCTGGCACAGGAAGTGATGGAATTTCTTCCAATGGGAACACTTGTTTTGGTGATAACTGTCTATGATGGACGGGATGTCCCCTCACTTTTGAGTCATTAGTGGCTTCCTCTGTGATTCTCTCAGTACAGGTTTCCTTTAATCCAAAGCAAACCACGTCATTCAAAGTATTACATTTGCAATGATTTTATTTTGATGAAACAGTATTAGAACAATCGTTTGCATTATGTGATATGAACAAATATTAACAGAACTTAAATGGCTCAGTCTCTGCATGATAAGTCATACAAATGTTCTGCTTTGGAATACTTTTCAAAATAATCTCATTCCTGATTCACAGCCACCAACTAATTCTCTCCAATTGAACATGAGCTACCTACGGTAGTGCTGAATACATAAACCCAGACAAACCCAATGTAGGTTTATCAACAACTTTATTTGATATTTAGATTTTAAAAAGATTTGCTTCAAAATAAAAGAAAGTCAGATAA